ACTATATCCATTGTATGTAGTATAGGAAAAAAAAATACTATATACAATGTCTACATACAGGGAAAATTGCTTTTAATATAGTATGGAGAAAGGAGGTTCATAGAAATACATTCTGGTCCATTCATCTGTCGCCTTCATTAAGAGTCAGGATTAAAACACAAGCATAAAAATAAATAAGATCTGTGCTATGAGCAGCTAAGGGAGGACAAATAAAAGGAAATAATGGCATAACGTTTCTCTAATAAGGAGAAGTTTTCAGGTAAGTGTTCATCAATGGGCAAATGCCAGCCACACTTTTTTATTCAGTTTGAGCCACAAATATTAGAATTAGTATCTGTGGCCACTGCTTTTTGAAATACATCATGGTACTCTAGCAATTATTTCCTATATTGTAAATTATTCCCAGGACTAAATGACTTCATTGGCAAATTCTACCAAACATTTAAAGAAGAGTTAACACAAATCCTTCCCAACTCTTTCAAAAAAATCAAAAAGAGAGGACACTTCTAAACTCATTTTACAAGGCCAGCATTACCTTGATATCAAAGCCAAATAAGAATACTATAAGAAAACTATAGACTGATATCCCTAAGGAATACAAAAATTCTTTTTTTTTTTTAAGATTTTACTTGTTTATTTGAGAGAGAGAGAGCAGATGAGTGGGGGAGGAGGGGCATGACAGGCAGAGAGAGAGACGGAGAAGCAGACTCCCTGCTGAGCAGGGAGCCTCACTGAGCCACCCAGGTGCCCCAGGAATACAAAAGTTCTTAATAAAGTATTAGCAAAATATTCCCATTGAATATGAATTCAACAATACTTTAAAAGGATTATACACCAAGACCAAATGGGATTTATCCCTGGGACATCAGGGTGGTTCAACATACAGAAATCAACACATTAACAATAAAAAATAAAAATCATATGAACATCTCAATAGATGCAAAAAAAAAAAAAAGGATTTGACAAAATACAACAGACTTTTGTGATTAAAAGAAAAAAAAAAACCTCCACAAGGACCATACCTCAACATAATAAAGGCCACAAACAATTAAGCTCACAACTAACATCATACTTAAAAGTGAAAATGGAAAGCTTCTGCTCTAGTATCAGGAATAAGATAAGGCTGCACACTCTCATCATTCCTACTCAACATAGTGCTGGAAGTCCTAGTTAGCAAAATTAGGCAAGACAAAAAAATAAAAGGCATCCAAATCAGAAATTAAGAAGCAAAAGTTGTCATTATTTGCAGATGATATAGAAAAAGCCCTAGAGACTCAACCAAAATTCTCTTAAAACTAAAACAAATTCAGTAAAGTTGCAGGATATAAAATCAACATACAGAAGTCAGTTGTGTTTCTATACACTAACAAGGAAACATCTGAAAAGAAAGACAACAATCCCATTCACAATAGCACCAAAAACAATAAAATACTTAGGAATACCATTAACCAAAGAAGTGAAAGATCTGTACATTGAAAACTACAAAACTTTAAAGAGAGAAATTGAAGAATACACAAATGGAAAGATATCCCATGTTCATGGATTGGAAGATTAATATTGATAAAATGTCTATACTATCCAAAGCCATCTACACATTCAACACAACAATCCCTATCAAAATTCCAATGGCATTCTTCACAGAAATAGAAAAAAAAAAAAAAAAAAAAAAACTCTAAAATTTGTATGGAACCCCAGAAGACCCCAAATAGCCAAAACAATCATAAGAACAAAGCCAGAGGCATCACACTTCCTGATTTCAAACTATACTACAAAGCTTTAGTAATTAAAACAATATAGTACTAACATAAATACACACATGCAAACCAATGGAACAGAACAGAGAATGCAGAAATAAACCCTTGTATTTATGGTCAACTAATATTTGACAAGAGAGCCAAGAATACTCGATAGGGAAAGAATAGTCTCTTCAACAAACAGTCTTGAGAAAATTGGATAACTATAAGCAGAAAAATACAATTGGACCCCTATCTTACACCAGTCACAAAAATGAACTTGAACTGAATTTAAAAGACTTAAACGTAAGACTTGATATCATAAAACTCCTAGAAGAAAAACATGGAAAGAAACTCCTTGACATTGGTCTTGGCAATGACATTATGGATATGACATCAAAAGCACAAGCAACAAAAGCAAAAATCAAGTGAGTCTACATCGAAATAAAAAGCTTCTGCACAGCAAAAGAAACAATCAAAAAATGAAAAGGCAACCTTCTGAATGGGAAAAAATATTTGCAAAACATGTATCGGATAAGGGGGTTAATATCTAAAATATATAAAGAACCCCTACAACTCAACAACAACAACAACAAAATCCAATTAAAAAATGGGCAGAGGAACCAAACAGATATTTTTCCAAAGGAGACATCCGAAATGGCCCACAGGTACAACATTACTAATTATCAAGAAAACTCAAATCAAAACCACTATGAGACATCATCTCACACCTGTTGGAATGGCTATAATCAAGAAGACAAGAGGAAAGTGTTGGCAAGAATGTGGAAAAAAGAGAACACTTGTTCACTGTTAGTGGGAATGTAAATTGGTTCAGCCACTATGGAAAACAGTATGGACGTTCATCAAAAAATTAAAAATAGGGGTGCCTGGGTGGCTCAGTCATTAAGCATCTGCCTTTGGCTCAGGTCATGATTCCAGGGTCCTGGGATCAAGCCCTGCATCAGGCTCCCTGCTCAGCAGGAAGCCTGCTTCTCCCTCTCCTTCTCCCACTCCCCCTCTCTGTCAAATAAATAAATAAATGATCTTAAAAAAAAATTAAAATAGAACTATCAAATGATCCATCAATTCCACTGCTGGGTTTATATCCAAAGGAAATGAAAACATGATATGGAAGAGATACATGCACTCCCATGCTCACTGCACATTATGCACAATAGCCAAAATATGAAAACAATGTAAAGGTCTATCAACAGATGAATAAAGAGGTGAAACATAACATACAGTGTCTATCAATAGATGAATGAAGATACATATATATGTGTATGTAATGGAATATTATTCAGTCATGGAAAAGAAAGAAATGCTGCCATCTTCAAAAACATGGATGGACCTTGAGGGCATTATGCTAAGTGAGGTAAGTCAGAGAATGACAAATACTATAGGATCTCTCTTATATGTAGAATCTAAAAAAATCAAAATTGTAACAACAGAGAATTAAGTACCAGGGGCTCAGGAGAATTGGGAAGATGTTTAAGGGTACAAAGTTGCAATTAGTAGATAAGTAAGTCCTGGAAATCTAATACACAGCATAGAGATAATATATAACAAGACTATATTATAACTTTCAAAAGGCTAGGAGACTAGATCTTAACTGTTCCCACCAGAAAAAAAAAAAAAAAATGATAATTACATGACATGATGGAGGTGTTAGCTAATGCTACCATGGTAATCAAATTGCCATAAATACATATATATATATATTCAATCAATACAAATATACACCTTAACTTACATAATGTTATATGTCAACTGTATCTAAATAAAGTTATTGTCAGCTTTAAGCTGTAAACTAGAAATATACTTCTGAATTAATGACTTTCAGAAAAAAAACTAAGGTATTTTATCACACATATATACACAAAATTTTCAAGTTCTGATAAATCAAAATGCCATTATTTCTTTTTCTCGGTATTTACTTTGGAACTTCCATGGTAACAACCCTATGACTCCTGAAACGTTGCATTTTGAGAAAATAATGGTAACCTTAATGTAAAACACCTGAAAGTGGTTACATCTGTGACAAGGGCTGTACTGTTGTAGACCTTAGAAAGGAATCATCATCTAGTGTTTTTATAATGGGAATCATAAAATTATCTGTAACTCAGTGGAAAAAACCCTGAAGGAATAAATTAACCACTTTTCACAGTTCTTTAAATGCTTTTAGAAAACTTCAAGAGATCAACAAGTTAAACACATGATCATAGCTATTGACCAAAGGGAAATTTATTTTCTATGATGCAACACTCTGGCCACAATACCACTTCACAATCAAGGAGACTGAAAGCCAGAAAGCCCTAAACTCGGATCCTGACCTAGACTAACTTACAGGTCAGGGTCTCTCAGGCCTCAGTTTTCTCACTGTGAAATTAATGGAATTATTCATTCAATGTTGGTTGAATGCCTACTATGTGCCAAACACTGTGTTAGCAATAAAAGTTTATTTGTTATTTGTTTTGAGCAAATAAAAACATGGCCCTTGCCCTAGCAAAGCTTCTAATTTTGTGAAGAGACAAAGAAATGCAACATAGTAACTGCTATGAACAAACTGTTGTGTTTGAGCAAACTGAGAAAGGCTGCAGAGAGAAAAAATACAGTTGAGCTGAGACTGGAACAATGAATATGAGTTGCTCAGATGGGGATCATGGGAATCCCCTGAAGAAAGAACAGACTGAGCAAAAACAGAAAGGAAAGAAGAGCAAGAGACAGGTTTAATGTAGATGATGCATAGGCTGCACATCAGGGAGAGAAACTTAGAGCCTGATAGGCCACACTAGGCAATCTAACCTTTAACTTTTAAGGAGTAATAAGGTTCATTCTACACTATGACTCTGGAAACTGGCTGTAGGCCCGACCAGATGAATCCAATTTGTCCACCATTTCATCTAAAGTTGTTAGAATCTTTTAAAGCAAAAAGTTTTAAAGCAAAAAAGCCATCCAAGTTTTGATGCTGACAGAAAATCTAAAAGACCTCACATAACTGATAAATTTTAGGACTAGCAGATTTCTATTGTTATGATTTATAGTAGTAAAACATTCTAAAAGATACACGACAAATGATTTACTTCTATTCTGTATCAAAAATGAACTCTGTAAACCTATCGGTGTGACAATTGTAAACAAGTATTAAATTTGCACACCCCACAAAATATTTTTTCATTCTTCATTTAAATAAAGCTTCATTCTCTTCACTCTGAGTATCAAAATTAACTATAAAAGTACCTGAAGAGAATATAAAATCCCATTTACCTGTGTTCTGCAGGTACAGGGGGCGGCCAAACAGCAGGATCTCTAAATGGTTCATCTTGACAAGACACAGGGAAATCTGGGGGCTTGTCAATTTTAAAACTTTCCAAAGTGCTGACAATACTTTTAACTTGTTCATATTCTTCCAATAATTCCTGCCGAACCTTAAAAGAAAATAACCTTTATGCTGGAAACTGTTTAAAGTTTATATGAATGGCAAGTAATAAATTGCTATAGAACGCAAGTTTTCTCGGGGCACCTGGGTGGTGCCACTGGTTGAGTGTCCCACTCCTGGTTCCACTCAGGTCCTGATCTCAGGGTCATGAGCCTGAGCCCCATGTCAGGCTCTGTGTTCAGTGGGGAGTCAGCTTGAGATTCTCTCTCCCTCTGCCCCTCCCACTTGTGCTCTCTCTCTCTCTCTAGAATAAGTTAAGTCTTTAAAAGAAAAAAAAAAAAAGAACGCACATTTTCTCAATGTCACTCCAAGTATGCAAAATGAATCATTAAAACATATTAAAAAAACAAAGAACTATTAAAAGTAATATAGATAGGAGGGCAGGAACTGGATTGAAAAAATACATTACATACTTTGTTGTAAGGGAAGTAGTTATATATTTTTCCAAATGAAACTCTTATTTCTACTAATGAATGGGATGACCATTAATATAATTTGAAACAAGGAACTAAGTCAGGAACAAGTTAACCATTCCCAGAAATCTAAAATGTTATGCTAAATCCTTTTAATATATTTGTAAATAGCTTTCAGAAAATTATCAGCCAACATTTTCATCAGCATTTCCTACTCCTAGTATCACTAAGTATGAAATGCCTGTCATGAGCATCTGAAAATCTGAAGTGCTAGAATACTAAGCATTACCCATTTCCAATTTTTATTTAAATTCTCCTTCATCTAAAATCTGAATTCTTCTGGACTTGTTTAAATTCTTTCAAGTGTTGGATAAAGTTCATTATGAGTTCAAAGGCAAGATTTTTCCCATATTTAAGAAACTTCACTGAATACCTACTATGTGGAAATCCTTGTGTTTTCAAACTTTGAGACCAAACTAATTTTCAAAGGCAAACAGATAATAGATTGAAAATTACATTTATAAATTCATTTTAACAATTCTAATTTGTTTTTACCAGAAAGCATGCTTTACTATAAAGCAGAGAAAAGAAAAATCTAGGTAAAATTTAACTGCTAATATATGCAATTATATACTTGGAGAAATGAAATTACAGAACCTAATGGAAATAATCATAGTAGAAATATCTGAATAGAAATGGTCACTATTTAACACAATTAAATTGTCAAAAATATTTCCAAGCTAATAAACCACTCTTGCCTATGGCTAGTATGCAGGATAGAAAAAACACAACTAAAACTTCAACTTGGGTTAAAGCAAGTATATTGTTCTCACTCAACATAATTTGGTAATGCTTAAGTTGGAAAATAAGCCAAATCTACCCTGAAAACTTGGTGAAACATCAATTTCTGACGTGGAAAAATTAAAAGAAACACTTGAAAGGCATTAGTACATTAAATGGAAACTTCAAAGAAATGCTTGACTTTGTACTTTTAATCTTAAAAGGATTTTAAGTTTTAAGAGTAAGTGGGGAAATTCTAATTCAAGTTTTTATTAACTGTACTATTATATAATCAAGTTGTACAGTCAAGAGACACAGCAAATATATTAGTTTTATTAGATTATTGACTCCTTTGTATTTGTAGGGAATCTTTCAAAAGAAGAGGAAACTTTCTTAAAGGAAAAGTTTTATGAAATGGTCAAAACTACATGTAAAAATGAAAGGGGAAAGGGCAAGTAGAAATACCTTATATCAAAAATTTGTGATCACACACAACTAGGTGACTGATCATGAAAATTTAAAAAATTCAAAGTAGATTCAATTGGAATTAAATATCTTCAAAATATGTCTCATGAAAGCTATGAAAAATACATAAAATATTAACTGGGCAAGACAAAATTATTCAGAGTACATTTTAAATATATTTCAGTATTTGGACAAATAAGAACTATTTACAAAACCTCCAACTAATTTTCTAACTCTGGTCTCTCAAGTATAATAAACTACTGCCCTCACTCACTGAATACTTGAATCTGTCTTACCTGTTGCCATTTGCCTTTGACAGCCGGGTCTCTAACTGACTGGCAATGTCTCTGAATCTGCTGTATCACCCCCTGGTAATATACCATTGATGAGTCATAGTTTCCAAGAAGTGCATATTCTCTTCCTTTCTTTGCATTGTCACAAATCTCAGCCAAATTCATCTTCCTTCAGAGACCTACACAGAATACATAATGTCTTCTTATTAAGTTTTCGGCACCAACTTTAGAACATTTTTTCTTTTCTCTAAAATATCTGCTTAAAACTGCTTTCAAAGTCAAAATGGTTCTCTTTTTCTTTGAGGTTATCTGAATGCATCTTATAATACTGAACAAAGTTTCTAATTTTGGAAGTACAAAGGACATCATAAAAGAACACCTAAAGAGATAACACAGAGAGAAATTACACAGGTCTGAACTATGGCTTATGTTAAAGGTACATAAATTGGACACTAGTTTTCCTTGCTCATTTATAATTACCATAAGCTGTAATAACAATAAAGATGAACTTGATTGTATTCAATTTATTCTTGACAATGTAGAAATAAGTATATGAATATCACATATTTTTCCACTGAAAAAACTGCAGAAATTAGTTTTAAAACATTCTGGCCCCCAACACCAGAAGTCGTACTTAAGGAATACACTTTAAAGAAACAGCCTATAGTTGTCTGTGCATCATTTATACATATTTAATTGTCCCATACAACTTAAATCTAAGCAAAACCCCGTGAATTAAACTACCTGAGCCCTTTTTGCTCCTCAACTTGTAATCTTCTATTATTTTGTCATTCTATAGTTTTCTGTCTGTGCAAATAACTATCATTGATCTTTTCCCTTCTACAGATGCTAGGAAGAGTTATCTTCTGAACCTCTGGTTTCCACCAAAGCTGTCCAACCCAGTAATTCTGGTTTTTCTTCCTGGCTTCCCAAACTCATCCAAGAATCATCCAAGGCTTCTATGCAAAGATATTTTCCATCCAAGACTACGAAGAGTAGGAAGTACAGTATTCTACTGTACGAGATACAGTAGAATAACATCCAGGAAGAGTCCAAATTGCCCTATTCTATTTCCCAGAATAAACCAATGAATCCACTCAGTAGAGAAAATCAAAATATTTCTCCATGCCTAATCCAGTCAAGAAATGGGCAGAAGACATGAACAGACACTTCTCCAAAGAAGACATACAAATGGCCAACAGACTCATGAAAAAATGCTCAACATCACCCAGCATCAGGGAAATACAAATCAAAACCACAATGAGATACCACCTCACACCAGTCAGAATGGCTAAAATTAACAAGTCAGGAAACAACAAATGTTAGCAAGGATGCAAAGACAGGGGAACCCTCTCACACTATTCGTGGGAATGCTAGCTGGTGCAGCCACTCTGAAAAACAGTATGGAGATTCCTCAAAAAGTTGAAAATAGAGCTACCCTATGACCCAGCAATTGCACTACTAGATATATACCCCAAAGATACAAATGTAGTGATCCAAAGGGGCACCTGCACCCCAATGTTTATAGCAGCAATGTCCACAATAGCCAAACTATGGAAGGGGCCCAGAGTCCATCGACAGATGAATGGATAAAGATGATGTGGTATATATACACAATGGAATATTACTCAGCCATCAAAAAAAATTGAAATCTTGCCATTTGCAATGATGTGGATGGAATTAGAGGGTATTATGCTAAGCAATGTAAGTCAATCAATTGTCTTATTGACTCTTATATGAGTTCACTCATATGTGGAATTTAAGAAACAAAACAGAGCATAGAGGAAGAGAGGGAAAAATAAAACAAGATGAAATCAGAAAGGAAGACAAACCATAAGAGGCACATGATGTAATGAGCACTGGGTGTTATATACAACTGATGAATTACTGAACTCTACCTCTGAAACTATACACTATGTTAATTAACTGAATTGAATTTAAATTAAAAAAATATTTCTCCATGCCTTTCTGAGGGAATCAAATTTTGGTGTTGCTTGGTCCTTTCTCTCTACCTCTTCTCTATTCTTAAGGGGTTCAAAAACTCTTCCTCAAAATTAAGCACATCTAGTTCTAGACACTTCAAGAACTCCAGTACATTCTTGAAAATAAAGCTGTTTCCTTTATGTGTTTTGACATATTATCTGTCCCCTCGCCCAGCATAAGTTCCTTGAAGGCAGCATCTATTTTTTTTGAGAATCACACCACAGCAAAGAGTACACTACTTTTGCACAGTTAGAAACTTCAGTGTTCAGTAGATTCACCCACATGGAAACCATGGAAAACCTCTTGTTCAAATCAGAACAGTAACACCAAGCAATAAATTCTTATTACAGTAAATGAGCTGTAATTAATAAATCCAGGAGAAACAAAGCTGTTTCATATATTATTTTCTTTTAAAGTCACTGTGACACAAAAGCATTAATTCTCCTAATATGTGCAGATACACATTTTTATCCTGCATATTAATTCTCCTAATATGCAGGATAAAAATGTCTTGATGTAAAGCAGGAATCAGCAAACTCTTTTTTTTTTTTTTTTAAGATTTTATTTGACAGACAGAGAGAGAGCACAAGCTGGGGGAGCAGCAGGCAGAGGGAGAGGGAGAAGCAGGCTTGGGGAGCCTGATGCAGGACTTGATCCCAGCACCCCGGGATCATCCTGATCCGAAGGCAGATGCTTAAGTGACTGAGCCACGCAGGCACCCCAGCAAACTGTTTCTAGGAAGGGTCAGACAGTAAATATTTTAGGCTTTAAGGGCCAACAGGCAAAATTGAGGATATTATATAAATACTTAAATAATGAGACAAAAATTTCCCTAATTTTTATTGATAAAATTCAAAACATTATAGTAGTAACTGTTGAGTACAACTTTTTGTAAAACCCATCTCCTGGTAAGAATGAAGCTCTTTGGGGCGGTGGGGGGAGAATATTTCACTTAGTTGAGATTCAAAATTTGTGTTCCCTATCATCAAAATCAATTGCAGGGGTGCCTGGGTGGCTCAGTCAATTAAGCATCTGCCTTCGGCTCAGGTCATGATCCCAGGGCTCCCTGCTCAAGTGGGAAGTCTGCTTCTCCCTCTCCCTCTGACCATCACCCCATTCGTGTGCTCTCGCTCTATCTCATAAATAAAATCTTTTTTAAAAAATTAATTGCATTCATATGGTAATGCTGCTTTTTAATAAGATTTTATGTATTTCATGTTTGAAAATGTCTTTTTACCCAGAAAGGTGCCGTCACATACATATGATTTCAATTCAGCATGTTCATTGTTTGGAAGATATCTACAGACTTTATTCTTCTCTTAATATTTGTCTTTCAGCATGTCCCTACGTTGCAGATTAATCACTTCCAATTAAAGGTTAAGGTGCAAGTTAAATGGATTTTGTAATATGGTAATTTCCTTTGCATTTGCATCAAAGTCTCAGAAGGATGCTGAAATGGAGCTCAAAAACTGTATTTACTGCAAATCGAGTGACATCACGATTCTTTACCTTCACTTCTAAAGGCATGGAAAGCTACATAAAACAGCTTAATATTACTTGTGATTTAAACAACACTAGTTGGCATCGAAATAACTTTTAGTTTTGCATATAACCACTGTTTTGCTTGTAATTTTAGGTTGAGTACATTAAGAAACATTATCAAGTCTGCAGCAAAAACCGATTTCCAAAGCCATTCAGTGTTCAATAACAGTGGTTGAGAGCAGTTCCTCTCGTTCAGAAAAACCTCAATTCAGCCCTAAGCTCAAAAAACTAAATTATAACTTTACCACTACTAAGCCGCTGAACTGCAGTGTGGTAGGGCAAGTTAGGATATTCAGCATCTATTTCTGACAAAAATTCATGGAGCTGACAAAGACTAAATACACAAGAGCAACATTCTTGAGTCTTGAGATGCTACTAGTTCTATATTGCGTGGTATATTCAAATATTCTCTGCAAAATACCTGCTGATAAATAAAAAACTATAGATTTTTAACCACTTTACAATTTCAGTTTTGTAAATTTGTTCATCTAAGCTTTTTTCTGCTCTACATGTATTTTTGTCACCATCACTTGTAATACATCTTAGCAGATTCCACCTCCGGTCATACACAATTAGTGTTTTCTGAACTTTTTGTAAATATTTTTGTTTGTAGTTATTCCATGAACAGTTTTTCAAACTAATTCTTCAAAAACTTCAAACTTAGAATTGACTTCTTGAATAACAACAATTGAACTGTACTGGTAACCTCTGTCAACCCACAAAAGCCAAGGAAAACCACCCAAAATCATTTGCTTTGTTTTTTAATTGATTATTAATGTTCTCAACTCTTCCAGCAACTGTTCTCGCCAAAAGTCTAATAGCTTTAAACAAGTTTATTTTCTCCAGACACATTTCTTTGGCTACTACAATCAAACACGATTTAGTTAAGGCACCATCAGTAAACAACTTCCTTACTTGGCTAACAAATGAGACAGAAACTTAACCTCGGTGCAGTCTGATTTTCATTGTTAATAATTTTGTGAAGAAATTCTGCTATGATAAGATATTCCTTTTTAAATGTTCTAATTCTTCTGACGATTATTTTCCTGTGAGTTGGGAATACTGTGATGAGTGATTAGTCTGGTAATATCAGTGTATACTGTATTTCTTTAGCACAGCTATGGTATCACTGCATAATAATCAGTGCTCTGTCATCTAATTTGATAATCCATTATCTAAGGTACTTTAGAAGTATAATATGTCAAGTCGATTTTTCTCATCTTTTCTTGTTTCAACATGATGGGTAGGTATGTGCTGATGATAAAGTAAAATGTCACAGTATAGTGATATGCAAGTTACTTACAAAAGTGATTATAGTGCACCAAGCAGCAGTGCAAAACATTGAGAATGTCACAAAATCTCTGTCCTAACTACTCAAACTCACAAAAGTAGCCATAAATAATATGTAAACAAATGAGTGTGGCTGTGTTCCAATAAACCTTTATTTACGGACACTGATAACTGAGTTTCACTTAAGGTCCACATGTCACAAAACAGTATTCTTCTTTTGACTTTTTTAACCATTAAAAGAATGCAAAAACCATTCTCAGTTCATATGCCATTCAAAAAAAGTGGCTAGCTACATTTGGTCCCCAGATTGTTATTTGCTGACTCCTGCTTTCAGCTTCTATCTTAAGAATCTGGGAAGGGGCAC